CAATTTACAATTCTAAAACTAATAACTGTTATTAGCGACATTAACTGAAATTGACTATATAGTAGAATGTATTCACATAGAACAATTCTAAATAATGTACAGTAACAACCTCTCTCATCTCTATTCATTTATTCATCAATTTGAATTACCTTGGGTACTTCCGAAAACTCTAAAGTAAAGTGGAATAGAAGCTCCTTTACAACAACAGCTTTTTTTTTGCCCCATTTTTTTGTCTTTGTACTCCTGGTAGCACCTAGTACAACACCTTGCACATTATAGGCAATTAATAAATATCTGTTGAATTAGCTAGTTGAATAAAAGGGCTCGGTAAACACATACCTAAATACATACCAGTTGTGTGGCAACAGGAAAATCACTTCACTTCAGTGTCTTCAGCGATTCAGATTATAAGTTGCAATTGTTGACTGATGTACAGCAAGTTTACATGTTGGGAATTCCCTACATTGATGACACCGCAGCTCTATCTCCTTTTGTTGTTGTTGTTGTTATGACTGTTATGACAGTTGTGACTGACTCTCAGTGACCTTCTGGACGGTTTGCCATTTCCTTCCCCAGTGGATTAAGGCAAACAGAGGTTAAGTGACTTCCCCAGGGTCACACAGCTAATAAGTATCTGAGGCCACACTGGAACTCAGATCCAGGCCCAATGCTCTATTCATCAAGTCACCTAACTACCTCTTCCTAAAAAAGAAACAGCATCAAACTCTAACATTTTGCTATATAATGAAATAATTAATACTTAATGTCATCAATTTGGCACTATGAAAACATGATATTAAATCAAGTGATATTAAAAGGGCAAGTTAGTTCTATAGGCACAATTTCCCATATAATTATACATGTAATTGTACATATAATTAATCCTTTTATGTTTCAAAATAGGCATTCAATCAAATATTATGGTGGGGTTTGACAATGCTGTGGTTGGGTTTGATTATAATGAATGAAGTTACTGTTTGGGTGAATCCTCTTTGGAGTCCACTCTTCTATGTAGGATGTGTACCGTGCTAGGGGATAGACTTATGATTTGTTCATATAGAGAACTCCAGGCTAAGGAAGCTCCTTCCACCAATGCAGCTCGGCATCTCTTCTGCAAGTTAAAATCTTAAAGAGTTGTCTACAGTGCTGAAGATTAAATGACTCATCCAGGGTCACACAGCCAGTATATATCAGAGACAGGACTTGATCCTATTATTTTCCTGTATTTCAAACCAGCTCCCAAGCTGCTGCCCCATTCTACCTCTTTTTGTATGTAGGAGATAAAATGTAATGGAATAAAATATGAGAGAGAGAAGGAGAAAGAGAAGCAAAGACAGCAAAAAGAGCAATACATGCTCTACTCATAAGGTATAAAATGTTCAGAGAAAGAGAACAGATTCTATTTTATTTACAGTTTCTAGCCATAAATACCAAATCAAGGTACTCAGGATACAAGAGTGTTAGATTTTTGGTGAGATTTCTACTCCCCCCCCACCCAATACTACCTACTAGGAATAGTAAATAATGTATTATGATTCACTGACTAAGATAAATGTAATATGTGTCACGGAAAGCACTAGTTTTTGCCGGGAATTCTTAGTTACTGCTAAACACTAGTTATTATAGGCAAGAAACAGATTGGATTATTCGGGGGGGGGGGGGCGCCATGCACTATGCAATAATTTGAATAAGTGGACACTATTTACAACACTGCTGTCAGCAAAGATGCCTGTTTGGGAATGATTTGCTACCTTTTTTTTCCTGTTATATAATCTTCAGCAACTTTCTGAGGGGCAGTCAACACACTGCTTTTCTTAGTACAGTTCAAAAAGAGGGAGCCAAATACAGAAGTCATCCATAAGCACTTTCCTTTGATGCCAGCCTGCTAATGCCAACTAGCCCAGTTACTTGAGGATTATATTTCATCTACAAGGGATGACTTTGTATTTCTCCAGCCAACTGACAAATATCATCCCTCATTCACTCCACATTATAAATCATTTGTATCCTGACCAAGCTTTTGGCAAAAGCAGAATTCATTTCATTTATGAATATGGTTTGAGTAACTTCAACTTATAAACCAGAATTACAGATCACAGAATGTGAAAGTTGGAAGGGACTTTTGTGGCCTTCTAGTCTGGCCAATACATGAAAGGAATCCCTATAACATACCTGATAAGTGTTCATGAAGCTTTTGCTTAAAGACCTACAAAAAGGGGATACCCATCACTGCTCGAGGCAGCCCATTCCACTTTTTGGGTTACTCTAAAAAGTTAGAAAGTTTTTCCTGACATCAATTCTAAATTTAACTCTTTGCAACTTCTAACCATTGCTTTGTATATACAGAACCTAACAAACAGTAAGCACTTAATATATGTTTGCTGACAGACTCACTCCTGGTTCTGACTTCCAGGAACAAATGAAAACCAGGAGAGAATATTTTCATGGAAATCAAGGGAAAAGAGAGGATATAATAATAATAACAATAACAACAACAATAATAATACTCTCATTTGATCCTCACAATAACCCCTCATCCAGGTACAGTACAAGCATCTCCTCCATATGACAGCCCTTGAAATACTTGAAGACAGATATTATGCCCCTCTTCTGAGTCTTTAGTGGATCCTTCAACTGACCCTCACATGTCAGAATCTTTATTAAATTGCCCTTCACCATTCTGGTTGCCCTCCTCTGGACACTCTAGCTTATTAACGTCCTTCTTTAAACCTTTCTGTAAATTCTGGGGAAAATGATCTAGGTCTTAATGTCACAATAACAAACTTCTGTTCCTACAAACATTTTTTACCCACATGACTTGGTCTTTTGTTTGACACTTCTTTATCAACATAACAGTGTTGAATTAATGTTGACGTTACCCAAGCAGGGCCTTTTCAGGATCTTGGTCATTTAATGGGTTCTTCCTAGATACAAATCACTTTCAATTACATTCAACAAACCCAGTGACATGTACCATTGTCAGCCTTTACTGTTGCTCCACAATGTTTGTTACTATTATTGTTATTTTTATCAATAATAATGTTAGTTCTATGTCAAATTGAAAAGAGGTCTCTGGTGAAGTATCCAAGGGATCTATAAGCATGTTCTTATGCTATTTAACTTTTTTTATCAATTACTTGGATAAAGGCACAGCTAGCAAGCTTACCAAATTTGAAGATGACAGAATGGTGGGAGGAATGGCTAACACTTTGGAACAGAAAATCAGAATCTAAAAAGATCTCAACAAGTTAGAACATTGGGCTACATCTAATAAACTGAAATTCAATGAGGATAAATGTAAAGCTTTATACTTGGGTTAGAAAAAATCAACTTCACAATTAGAAGACAGGAGAGGAATTATTAGAAAGCATTTTGTTTGGAAAAAAATCTGAGAGTTTTAGTGGGCTAAATGATCAATGTTAGTGATCACTGTGATGTAGTAGACAAAAAAAGCTATTGCAATTTTGGGCTGTATAAAAGAGATATAACTTCTAGACATCAAAAGAATTGAGAATTCTACTGTTTAATGTCCTGGTCAGATCAAATTTGTAATATTTCATTCAGTGCTGAGTATAACTGTTCAGGAAAGACATTGATCTAGGAAAGCATCCAGAATAAGGCAACCAATATGATGACAAGTTACAAGTCCCTATCATATCCTGAGAATCAGTTGAAAAAACTAGGGTTGTTTAAGCTTGAGAAGAGAAGATTTAGGAGGGGACATCAACGATATTTTCGATAATAATAATAAGTTAACATTTCTATAGTGTTTTAACTTTTGCAAAGTGATTTACATATATTATTTGATGCTTACAACAACTCTATGAGGTAAATACTACTATTATCTCTATTTTGTAGATGAAGAAACTGAAGTCGAGAGAGATTAAAATATTTGCTCAGGGTCACATATATCTAGTGTCTGAGGTAGGGTTGGAAATCAGTTTTTCCCAACTCTAACTCCAGCATTCTGCCCACTATCCAATTACCTAGCTGCTTCTAAGATCTTAAGGAATACCATGTGGAATAGGATTTAGACTTGGTCTGTTTGGCCCCAGAGAAAAGAATGGGCAAAGGGCAGAAGCTGCACAGAGGCAAATGTCAGCATGATGTCAGGAAGAGCTTCCTAACAATTACAGTGATTCCTAAACGGAAAGGGATTCTTTGGGAAGTAATTGGTTCCCACTCACTAGACTTCTTCAAGGAAAAGCTTTATGAGGACTTCTTAAGTACATGGTAATGGGAATTCTTATTCAGGTATGGATTGGAACAGACAGCTTCTGAAGTCCATCTCTGAGATGCCAATTCTGAAACTCCATGCTATGATGGGGATATAGAAAGATGAGTAATTCTGAAGCATGGAGCACTGGAAAAGGACACTGATAGGGGCTAACCAGCAGCATGAAAGTACCAGGCAGAGAACAGAATAAAGCTAATACCTATAGGTATCAGAATGGCTTTTTCTTTTCCATATACCTTTCTCACCTTCTAGAACTCCATTTTCACTACTCCCGGATACCCAACAGCATCCTGAGTAGATAGCATGGGTGCCCATAAGCCATGCTATGGAACTTTCTCACCTGGGCATTCAAAGCCCTTCATAATCTAATCTTTCTAGTTTTAATAACTGATACTTTCTTATGAGAACCTTCCACTCCAGCTAAACTGATCTAATTACTGTCTCTCAAACACACCTTGAATTTTCTCACCACTATATGACTGTTCGTATTCCCTTGGTTGAAATGCCTTCCATTCTTTCCTCATACTCTTCAAAATCTACCCACATCTCAAGGTCTTGATCAAATACTACACAATATCCCACTCTGATAGCACTTAAAGAAAATGGGCAGATAAGACCATCCTTTATATTTCTCAAGCACACATAGTGAAAGATATTAGAACCTCCTGAGTAGTTCAGCTTGCACAATGCAGACACCTTCATTCCTAGAGTGAGTGGTATACATTTCAAAAACGACCAAATATATTTTGAAAAAGATGTTTACCTTCTTTTAGGCATTCCACTACAAAAGTAAAGCCTGTGGTTCTTGGATGTAAGACATACTCATATTTCTCAAGTCCATTCTTTTCAGCAAACTCATTGCTTTTAGCTTTGCTGTTTTCTAGACAAAATTACAGATAATTAGTAAGCATGTAACACTGAAAGAAAAGATAGAGGAAGGGAGGAGGTACAACCTGCTTTGCAATATACTGGCAGTAAATTATACCATAATTCTAAAACATGCGCCTAATTTTTTTAATTCTAAAAAGTATTCCAAATATTTGCAGTCATATCCCTAATACTGATAGCTAAGTTGGTTCTTTTATCAGTTAATAATTAATCAGTTACTAACTAGAATCCGTTTATTCTCTGATAAATTAGTAAGCTTTTGATATATTTTACTGAAAATTTAAATTTTTCTTGAAATGTTTAAAGGGTTCATAAAAACACAATATATTACACATAATGGATATGAAAATATTTATAAAATATGTTCAGAAGCAACCACTAATCATGTGTAAACAATACTAAAAAGAACCCACCTAGTGGATGTCAAATTGATGCTTAATTTAATGTGAAACTTTAATATTTGCTTAAGCAGAGACAATACCTTTTGAAATATATCATTAACATTTTTTACTAATTTACAGTCTCTGTCACGCAGAGTAAATATCTATATATCAACTTTTTCAAAGCAAAAAATGTTAGCATTGTAACTAAAGCTTTCCTTTGGCTGAACAGACACGCTATTCATGGATTGCCAAATGTAGGTCTGACTAAATACTACTAAGAACTACACTACAGGCAAGAACATAATGAGTATGTTCTCATTAATGGAAAAAAAGAGTTCCTCTTTTCTTGTTCTTTAAACTATAACGTTCTCGAAAGAACTCAGACTCCTTATTCAGAGGATAATTGGGGGAAAGCACACAATTAGTTGGCTTCAAACGCTGATCTGAGAACTCATTAAGTATAGGTTGAGTACCTCTTTGACAGTATAGTTTTCAGTTCCTCTACCCTACACTACAGCATATACAGAACCAGGAAAACAAAACACAAATGCCATTGATAATTTTCCTATACTTTAAGCATGATACATGTTTTATTAAGTTTAAGAATATTGAGACCCACTTCCAAGGAAATTAAAGTAATTTAGATTTTGCAGGACAAAAATAAATATTCTTTTAAGATAGTCACTGTGAAGGCATTATACCATTTCAGAATTGAAAAATGAGTCAAAAAGGTTAGGATTAAAAGAGCAAATCCAAAACAGAAACAACTTCCAATGGAGTCAGTTATCCATATTACCTATCTATACAATGGACTTAAGAGCCTGTTAGTACACTGGACTTGAACTAGGGCTTGTACTAACATTTAGTGTTGTCAATCACATGATATACAATTACTGCTGGTGTAGGCCATAGTAGAAGAAACACATGGGTTCTGTCTTCACCCTGCCACTAACTAGGCCAACTCACTTCCTCTTCACGAGCTTCAGCTTCTTCTTGGGGAAAGCAGAATCCCTTTTTCTCCCACGTCTGGAATGACTGAATTAGTCTCCTGTTCTCTTTCTTCCCTGCCAGACACCTGTTGAAATCCCTCTTCTTCATTCAAGGCCCAGCTCATGCACAACATCTTTCATGAAGCCTTTCTGAGAGTCTCCCTCCTCAAATTTCTTATGTCAGTCTATTTGACTTCTCTTATTCACTTAACCTACTCTAATTTGCAATGTGGCAAAATGTGTACCTGCCTTTTTCTGCTTTACTAGACTATAAGTTCCATTCAGTTTCACCTTTGTATCTCCATCTGCCTAGGAGTATCCTGCATATATAATTACATTAAGTACTTTAAAATATTGGTTGAATGGAATTATTCCAACACAAGACAACTTACCTGTGAGGTCAGTCCCTTCCGGGAATATGAGGAGTTGAAGTGGTTCCTGAATATCACAGAAATAATTCAACATGTTTTCAAAGTGACTCTTATCATCCTTCCACCTCCTATGAATGAAGATATAGGCAGCAGCTTGCATTGCCCAACCTGGAATAAATTTGAGAAGTATTTAAAATAGGTCAGTATTGTCTTTCTCAATAAATATGAACACATTTTGGTTAGTTTTTTCTTTTATTTCTCAATCATAATAAGTACCCCATCCAACTGTGATCTGGGATCATGTGACCCTCATCTATCAGAATTGTGTCAAAGGGACCTGCCCCACCCCATTCATACCTCCCAGAAAGCTTGCCCTCTACAGTACTAATGACATTATTCTTAAGTACTACAGGAAATGCATCTCATATTATCCCTCAAGAATTCACAATACACAGATAAATACATATATAAATATTGAACACACAAAAATCCAGTTAGATGAGAAAGCATTTTTTTATAACTGATGGATAGGAAGGAGGGAGTGAAAGTTAGGGGTTGGCTCAAAGAAATGTCTAATTATGCAGATGAAGTTAAGAACATACCTGCCAGCTTACCTATCCTTGGTCATATTAGGATTTTCTATTAAACTCTCAGAATGAGGACAGGGAAGCATAACTAGTTCATTGTTCTCCCACTCAGTTCCTGCCTCAGAACAAAGGGATGACAACAGCTGATATGACTAGATTGAGAGGATAATTAGATGAGGTTATTAAGAGAGCAGAATATCCTTGATTCAAAACTTGAGTGACTCTTAAAAGGGGGTGGCAACTTCAGGGATACTAAAAATCTGTCCTAGACTTTGAAAAGTAGGCAGATTTAAATTGCCTTCAACTTTCAGAGGAAGTTGATTAGAAACTTCCTAGGAAAGAAGGTAATTATACCAGTACTGATAGAAATAGTAAGATGGAATTAAGGACATATAGGACTAGCCTTCTGCCCTTTTTAATGGCCTTTCTTTCCCTGGTGGGTAATGTAGTAGGCTGGCAGCAGGGTTTTTCTTCTCCCTGATAAGGAAAGGGCAAATAGCATCCTCTCACCCTCATCAAGACAGGTTGAACTAGGCCCAGGAGAGCTTCTAATTATAAGACTATACATGTATGTGTGTGTATGTTTATAGTCAATATTGAGAATTAGACTCTCAATTTATGGAAATTATTTTTGATGGATTTGTATGTATTAAGTTAGAAATTTCCCAGGAAGTCCATTATGTGACAAGTAGTCATTAAATATCTCTCTCCCTCTCTTGAGAAAAATTATCTTTTTATTTAGTTCAGGCTCAACCAACCTAGCCTCCTCTCATCTACTGCTTCAAAATCCCAAGCGTGCCTGGCTAAAAAGAGCCGATCAGTTACAGTGCCAAATCCCTGCCCCTGCTGATATTGTTAGGGACATGGGTGTCAATATGAGAAAAAGCAGTCAGCATAACACATAAGATTCCAATTTTTAGAAAAGCACTATATTAATGTCACTTATTTTTATCCTAACAAACAGCTTTCTCCCTATTACCTCCAAGATCAAACAGGAAATCCTCTATTCGGCTCTTAAAATCCTTTACAACCTGGCCCCTTTCTACCTTTCCAGTTTTCTAAGAGAGAGAGAGGCTGATGACTTTGCACAGCCATGCCTCTCTTAAATTCAATTCACGTGCAAATCAAGATATCAGCCGTGATGTCATGGGTCCCCTTCAAAAACGAAGGACAACAATACACCACTATACTCTTCTGTCACATACTCTGATCCAGTAATGCTTGCTTCTTTGATGGTCCTCACATAAGACAAACCATCTCCCCACTTTGAATGCTTGCCTCCTCATCTCTGTCTCCACCTCCTGGCTTCCTTCATATTTTAGTTAGAATCTCACCTTCTGCAAGAAGCCTTTCTGAGATTTATACACATACATATGCATATATATTCATATGCATATGTGTGTATATGTGTGTGAGAGTACATGTATGTGGGGGCAGAGAGGGGGAGAGAGGAAGAGAGAGAGAGAGAGAGAGAGAGAGAGAAAAAGAGGTAGAGTGAGAGGAGAAGGAGAGAACATGCATTCATTAGAATCTGAACCATGAGCTCATTAAAGCAGAGATTGTTTTTGCCTTTCTTTGTATCCCAGCACTCAAAAACAGTGACAGGCACCAAGTTAAGCATTTAATAAAATTCTTCTTGTTAACTAATCTTTCAATTTTGTGAAGCAACAGCACATCTGAAATCTATTATGTCTAATATCATGTCTTAATATCGTGACTTATTGATAAGAAATATTTTGTGAAGATTTAGGAAAAGGGGGTCCTTTTGCCAGTACCTCTCCCACTTTTTTGTCCAAACATGTATATATATCTGTTTAATCTATGGTTCTAATTTCTGTGTTCTCCACAGTGTCCCCTTTAGAATACTGTCTTTCTTAAATCATTCTGAATAGTATTCCTATTATAAAATCTGAATTCTTATGATTAAATCTGAAAATCATCAATCTATTCAGCTAAGTACTCATTTTAGGATTTATGTACATTTCTTGTAGTATTCCTGAGTTATTTATAATGCCATCTTTAGGTCATTCTTTAGCTACAACCAAATCTCCATCCAGATGTGGCTGGCATGTCGGTTGAAAGGATACTTGGCCATTTCAACTGTTTAGAATTTAGTTTGTATACTTGTTTTTAAAAAAAAAAGTCTAAATAAGGAGCATTTTATTGCTCACTGTTTCTAATTTTTGCCTCCAGTCCTTGATTGCTTTCTTTATTTAATACTCCTGAAATAGATATCTTAATGGAAAAAATGCCTTAAAATCAATATGGCAACAGTACCAGCAGAATTCAGAAGTTAATAATGAATTGGCCAGACTTTAATTCATACACTTTTTTCATGAAGATCATTAATACACAACTACATATACAAATAAAATGTCCTATACATTTTTCTTGTGAAAAAAATAAAGTCATTTAAAGCAGTTAGATGTCATACAAAAATAAATTTGTTAACATAAATCAAGAAAATTTCACTTAACTGTAAGTACTAAGGAGGTGGCAAACAGGCAAAATTTAACCAATGGTTCTCCAAAGCTTTCTAAAAATTCCTTTGGTCTGGTATTACAAGTCGCCATGATCTGGATCCAAACCACCTTTCTAGCTTTATTTCATACTATTTCCATTAATATAGTCTATGATCTAGCCAGACAAGGATCTTCACCATTCTCTGGGCTAAATTCATCCCTAAAATATTAGTTATTAATTTTTTAGTTATTAAAATTCCATAAAAGGTATTAGAGATATTAAGTTCCAAGGATAGACTCCCCTTCACATATATGTCCCTCTCATTTAGAATGCCTGATAATTTCATTAGCTAAAAAATGTGATAACTATTACAATTGCCACTGGGGGCAGTGCCAGAGCTCCTAAACATAAACTTAGAAATTCCTGGACTTTTCCCAGTTCAATAAACATTTACTGTTGATAAAAGAATCCACAGCAGATGTGGGTGGAGAGAGTGTCAGGAAGTTCTTGGAGGCATAGCACTTGAAGTAGGACCTCTGCAGTCTTTTCCTATGAAGGCAGGCTCCCTTAAAGAGAATGTTGAAGAGTTTACTTCAGATACAGTGTCCCAAAAGTCATAGTGCAGTTTTAAGCTTTAATACTTTAACACTGCACATTTAACATTGACTTTTGGGACACCTTGTATAAGGATTCTTCATTTTGCTGGAAAAAATGAGTTCCTCCCATCTTCCCCTTTTATTCTGCCCTAGGCATGCAGAGAAACTTGGATTCAAAACACAGAAAGTATCAGGGAGCTTTATTTCTCCTGCCAAAGGAATCTATTCTAGAATGCTTTGGAATAACATAATCCTCCCTGAAGTAAAAGCTGCTTTTTATCCTATCTCTACCTGGAACTCTATGTTTTGGAATGGTTCTGAAGGTTCACATGGACGACTGCTGTTGCTTAACATAACATTTTCCCTGAAGCTTGTAATATGTATAATTATTAAATTAGAATCAGTTCATATTTCATTACCTGTGAATAACAATAACCCGGACCCCTATATGTGAAATTGGGCAGGTGCTATGGCTGCTCCGTGAGGAGTTCAGAGTACAGACATTAAAGATAAATGCTGAAGGGGCGGGTCAGATCATAACAGGAGAGTTTGTAGACATATCTCAGAGCACTAGCCAAAGCAGTGGCCTTCCTATTTACCAACCTTTTGGCAAACAGAATAACATACCTGCCACCACTGTCAAGCAAATGATGGAGAAGAAGGGTCATATAAAACAGGAAAAGGGGGGAAAGTCTAATTACCTTCATGATGGTACAGAGTGAATCCCAGAAAGTCCTAGTGTAATCAGAATTTCTGGTCTCTTGCTGGAGCATCCATTTGTACCAGTAAGTTAACAATTTGCCGTAAGTACAAATGATAAACATATTACCCAATTCCATCTCAGGAAGGAAAGCACTATAAAGTAATTTGTGAGAGAATTACCACTAGGAACCAGAGGCTTAAGACTACTTCCTACAGTGTATCTGTAAGTGGAATCTCTTACTGAGCCATTTGGAAGCTACCTCACAAACTAGAATATTGACTCTCTCAGTTTTAAAATCCTGATGATGTATAGCTGGCTGCCAGACCATTTGTGAGAGGTAGTTATTTATTACCTATTCCCTCAGCACCTCCAAAAAGAAAAGCTGAAAGGGCTTAAATTCTATACATTAAAATGTATTATTGGCATAAAAGACTACTAATTAGAGCAAGGAAGGAAGGACTGAAAGAAAGAGGGAAGGAAAAGAGAGAAGGGAGAAACAAAGGAAGGAAGGAAGGAAGAAGGAGGGTGAAAAGCATTCACAAAATTAAGTGTACTAAGCACTATGTTAAGCACTGGGTATATAAATACAGAATCATGAGACCCTGTTCAGAACAACATTCTAGTAAGAAGAGATAACACATAAGAGAGTGTTAGTAAGGGAAGGGTGTTTTGGTTTGGAAAATCAACAAGAATGTTAAGTACGAAGCAGCGGTAGTACTGATTTGATTATTGTTCCCAAAGGCAAGAAGTGACAGTGACAAAGAGTGGGGGTGGGGGTGGCTGGCAGAGGTAAGAGGAAGTTGGAAAGAAGATGAAAGT